CGCATGGGGGCTAGAGATGGCAATGAAACAAAGTTAAGTTCCCTACATTTTTATTTTCTTTCTTTATTAAGTTAACTGCAACGTATATTATTGCATAGGCGTATGAAGCTTGGCCGGGCTACGAGAACGGATAATGGTCAGGGAAGTTCCCCACCAAATCGTGACGTGCCAGATCTGCAGCCAATTACCCCCAGCATTTTCGTTCAGGGCTGCCACAAAAAATATGCAAATGAATTTAAAATCATAAATATCATTATTGGTAACAATATTTGTATATAGATTTATTATATTTATAAAATTTATTATCTGTTTAATTTCTCCATATATATTAAATATATCTATTAACTTATCAATTAATCAATTTTGTACTAATAATATAGTTAGTTTTAGGTCAATTATCATTTGGTAATATGAAGAGCACAGCCCATTTATCAATTAACAAAGATATAGCATGCTAGCATGCAATACATTGAATTTCTTTTATTATCCATTAAAATTAAATATCCAGGTAAAACATCAGAGTGAGTCCAAAAAAGGGTGTTATTTTTTATTATATGTTTTTTGGGGTGTAGATAAAGAATCTGAAATCCGTTTTTGGTGGTCGGCATCGGAAAACCGATTTTTTTTATTTTTTATATATTTTCTATAGAAAATGACAATGGGGGACCCGTGGGGAACCGGGGGTTTTAGGGGGAGTCAGCACTTTCACACATTGTTCAAAACCAAACATTCTTCAATATGCAATAGCACTCAACGATCAGCATTCTCCAATATGAAATAGCACTGAACGATCAACATTCTCCAATATTCAACACCGCTCAATATTATCCCAATATTATTCATGTACGAAACATTCTAACATATTCACCTGTACCAAATATTCCTGCCTATTGCAGGTATCAAATATTTTCCAAATACTGCAGAGCAAAACATTCTCTCACCTTAACCAGTATTAAACATTCTCTAATATTCGACATCACTAAACGATCACATTCACATATACTGTTAAGCATTCTATGGCAAAAACCACTAAAATCAATCCTAAAAATTCCAAAAAATATTTGCAAACAACAGCTTAGTGTATTTAGTAACTACACGGTTCATTTATAACCATTTTCACACAGCATAAATTCAATACGGTTGCCAATTCCTGTGTTTCCTGGAACGAAGTACATAAAATGTAATTGATTGTTCGCGGTAATGTAATTCAGGGCGACACGACACCCGCGCGTATTCACATCCAATGTAATTTGCTAACTACTCGTTATCTTACGACACGTCACTCGTATGTATGGTCTATAGAACTGATTTGCACAAGTCTAAAATTCTGCCTACAGTAGTTGCGAAGGAGAATAGAACCACCGTCGAAATTTCAGTTGGAACTTGTGATCTTCCTAACATTGCCATGTTCAATGGAAAGTTCATAAATTTATAAACTAATAATTTGTAATTCTTTGAAAATCACCAAATTCATGATACTTCGATTTCACTCTGGTATCAAACATAATGATACAACGGAAAACAAGCATATAATTACAGAGAATGAGGAAGATTACTTACGGAGTTGAGACTACGATTTGTATCCTTGTTTGTGCGCGTTTCTCTTGCAGCGGCTCGGTGACTACTTGACTGGTGAAGATTAAACCCAACCATGCAGTCGAACTCTTGAGTGAACTGGCTTTTCCACACATGGATTCAGCTTTCTCGATGAATTATATATTAAAACCCGAAGTATATGGACACGAGCAGCTAAAATAACATGATCAAATCAGCATATACCTCAAGTTAAAAAAATTTCCATTACTGCCAGCTCCAAAATCTTTGAAGCTCAACTGAGTTGTCTAAGTGGAATGCCGGCATCATGGCGCTATGCCGACTATATTTGAGTAGTGCCGGTATCGGTGTCGTGTTTTTCATTGAATTCCGCTTGCAGAACCATTATACAGAAATTTCTAGTTTCCAATATTGTTCCGCTTTTAAAATATGTAATTTTCAAGTCTAATATTTCACAAGTTCACATTCCCACTACGATTACAGGATTAAAATGAACAACGTTTGCCGTTCAACGTGTGATCATCACTAGTACCATTAGCGAACTAACGCCGGGCGGCAGCGGAAAGGCAAACGAACGTGTAGCGTCTTGTACGCTACCCACGCTAACGCTACCCATATCACGCTACCCGACTATCATATCACGCTACCCACGTACGCTACCCATATCACGTTAAACAGGAATAATATTTAAACATTTAACGAGGCTAGCAACAAATTTGGCCCTGCGAACATGATAAAATAACTATGAGGAACAAGAACCGCAAAGCATTGACCAGGTTTTGTCATCGATGTTATTAGAACTAATGACTAAATTTTTCTAACTCGTTGAAAAAGTATTTTGGTACCTGAGTAGAGTTATGAACGTTATGTATAACCCCAGTAACGCCCAGTAACCGCCATTGAATAAAACGATCATAATTCACTGAAGGAATTATGTGAACCGCACCACAATATGATACAATTGTGAACCTCACCTGGAAATATTGAAATTTTGTAGACCTTGTTTGAATAACCGAAGCTACAATGTTCAATGCCTGTTATCAGGCAATGCACTGTCATCACAATATCAAGCAGTTTCATTCCAAATCATGGCGACCTGAACATTTAATAAAATTACTGGTAGGCCCTGAATGCAAAACCGAACGTTCATCTGTTGCATTTTCTGCCAATTAGCAGCTTGCATTTTAGATATGTATGTTATGATAAGAATTTGAAATTTATCTCTTGGAGCTACAAGTATTACTTCTTTTACTGCCACGTACTTAACAGGTATTTTCTCTTGCTCTTTCACCCCTTAATCATATTTCCATGCCGTCAAGCATCCGGTGGTTTTTAGATATTGCCAAATATATCCAGGTATTTTTGTCCTATAATTATATTAAATAAAATTATTTTCTTACAACACGTAAGCTTAAAAAATTTGTAAAATCAAATCTCATTTCGTTCCATCGTATGCCTTGACAAACGTACGCGTGTACATACATCGACGCCATGTGATGAGCGGGAGATGGCCATAGCTCGCTCAAATAACAGCGTCTGACCACAGAAGCCTGGCCAGCTGCTTTTTTCGGACTGATTACATATATTTGGCCTATCGGGCAATCGACTCCCCCAATCGGCTCCTATATAGCCGCTGATTACAGTTAGGTGGCCGATTGGCGCCTGAGTCACCTCTAAGCCGACTGTCTGTCTTTTGGGGCAGCCCCGAATTGAACGAGAAACTCGACTGGGGTATATGTTTCGTCACTAATTTGTTTCAACTTTACTCTAATCGTCAATGAGATGACTATATGAAAATTTTCGTGCTGATCCAACTATTTATTTACAAACGGTGGACAATAAAAAGAATTTGGACTTTGTATTAAAACAGTTATGATGTGAGAGAATTATAATAATTGTAACTATGAATGTTCCTTAATGGAACGACTTACACACTTTTTTAAGAAGTTATTGGGTGTTTATTATTTCTATTGTTATTATTTTTCAAATATGTTATTGGGAATTATGATCAGCCTCCTTGTTGTAGATATTTGTTACCAAGAATACTTTAAATAGGATTATTTTTAAAAAATTTTCTACTTACATTTTCCAAGGAATAATCGTAATATGTATGCATCAAGTCTATACTGCAATACCATTACTTAATTAAATGATCTTAATAAGTATACATTAAGTCTACAGAGTAATACCATTACAGCTTACGCATATGGGGAGTGAAAATGCCGAAAACCTGCAGCCATAATTAAAGTTTTTGTGGAAGAAATAATGGGATGCAGACGTCATAAATTGCTCAACAATCCCAGCATGAGGAAGCTTCCAGTCACTGATGAGAGAAATTTCTGAACAACCCAAACAAAATTCAAGGTATGCTTCAGCCTCCGCCTCAAAGTCGCTATGCTCGCGTTAGAGTTATTCAGGGTTGGCTTGGCCACCTGACCGCGATCAGCGAGTAGTCAGAACCTGCTTTCCGACTTTATAGTCGCCTGAGAGCATAGCAAGAGTTGGCTTGGCCTACTGTGCCGAGCTGGCATGCTGCCCAGGTGCTGCAAATCAAGCCCTGGACAGAAGGCCTCGGGCAGAAGCCTCCGAGACGTTTGAGTGCGAACATTCCCAATCCCTGTAAATAAAATTTGAATTGATCCCTTATATCCAATTCATGTTTTTAAGCGTCGCTACAATGACAGACTAGGCCTCACAAAGATACGTAATATCGATGTTTTGGGGGTGATTATAGTAAATCATTCATTTGCATTCAACCGACAAAGCTTTTCAATTATCAATAAACTGAAATATAAATATTTTATTTTTATACCACAATTCATCTGAGAGAGGTAGAAAAGAAGATGAAAGTAATCAATGAGTTAAATGTAGCGAAATGACTATGAACCAAGGCTCCAGAAACATAAACTCACATCTCATACCCCGTTATAAAATAAGTAACTAATCTCTTATCTCTTTGCTTCTCTCGAAGAAAGAGTGTAGTTTTATTTAAATTTCAAAAAAATAGTTCGTGAACGTGTTAAAATCTAGTCTAAAAATTTAAGCCTTATACTCACACATCGAACATGTAAATGTCTTGTAAGTAAATGGGATGTCTATATGGAATCCAGCTAAAATGTTTTTTTTATACAGTAGACTGGGAAATGTTCATTTGATTTAAGTGGAAGAGTTAAGTATAGGTACTTGAATACGAGCAGTAGATATTTTGCATGGTAATACTATCCTCATCTAAAAAATTTACAAGTGATATTTTTCGGTCATATACTGTATATACTACCATGTGCATCATAAATATTTTAATCAGCTGCTCAATATTTGCAGATTTATGGGTTGGTGATGTATCAATATTCGTTTTAAAAATATATGGAAATGAAGGCACATGACTATTTTTGGAACGGGTAAAGTATTGGAACACTGCTTGCCGACCACTCGGAGAAGAAAGGCAAGCACTGTATGGTCCAATGGTTGTTGGTGTCGTTGCATTTTATTTCAAGTGTATAAGAAGTGAGAGTTTAAATAACCTTGTAAGGTAATTACAATATGGTTTATATAACCTGACAAGGTTATTTCATCATTGTGAGTTTGATAGACGAAAATTAATCTGTAATTCTGTACGGTAGCTAATATGGTTGATTATATAGTACAGCGGCCATAGTGGCCGATTCGCAACCGTTGCAAGTCGTGACGCGTGGTGGTCTAATAATGGTGGCGGTCATGCGTCGTGGTAATATGAAACGAAGTTAGTTTATTAAATTATTTATTAAGTTTAGGGGTCGGTTGTCTTTGATTTTGTAATTTCAATGATATTATTTTCATATCATAATTGTTGGCTCATTAGGACACTGCAGCAACTGTCAGTGTCAGGTCGTTATTTCAGAGTGGTAGAGCTGTGGTTAATAAATTTAAGATAAATCCAGCCTCTTAACATAATCAGTTCCAAATATTGTCAAAACATTAAAAGAGAATATTTTTATATCCAATATAAATATTAAATGTGCAACTGGCAATTTGAAATCACTTTGAATACTCTGATAGAAGCTATAACTTTTTATTGGTCTTTATTATCCCTTCTTACTCTAAGGCTGATTTCATCTTAACCTTAATAATAAATTTTCTTTTCCCTATAATTTTTTCTCTTATAACTCTCCTCCTAGACCAGTGACAGCCAAAGTGACTAATGATAGATTTTATTAAGAGGCCATGCATTTCTAATTACCTGATCTACTTCAATATTTTGCTGACCATCCTCTGTAGACCTATGATAATTCATCAATCCACACTGGTATCCCAAAATGACTGATCCACCACTCTACCTAATGGGCTCTAATAGTAATAAGGGAGGTCAACTAAGTCTCATTCCTCATTATGCCTGACAGGCTGACCTTGCTTTCCTCTCCTCTACCAACATTAAATAATGTGCTCTCATGGCACAGCACTGACATCAGTGGCATTCAGTGCCATGTGGGAGCTAGTCAACACTAAATAGAAGACCAGACTGCTGACTGAAATGCCTTTTCAGAGTCATCCCGTACCAACTTCAATCTAGTCACTCTGAAAATATGGAGCAAAATTTTTTTAATAATTTCCATGAAGAAACTTTCAAGTTTACCAAATAGTTAAAAAATCATATTACGTACCTATATACATATGTGTAGAAGTTAGTATCCAGAAGGCAGAATAAGCTTGTTTCAACACGGGTGGTTAATGGCCAGCGAATTCGTAGATTTAAATTTAATAATCCGACATAATCCGACCGACAATAGCTGAAGCCCTTTTCTGCGGATTGGACTCTATCTATCATCTCATCACTACCTAATTTTCTAAGTTTTGAGATTGTTTTGGAATTATTTTCACTGTTCCAAATTTTCTTGTATCCTATTTACTTGTATCATGTACTTATTTCAATCAAAATTTCTGTATTCAATGCTTCCTGTTACTTGAAAATGAATGTTGTTACATTCGAAATGTCGTTAATAAATTGATATTACTCCCTGGAACCTGTATTTTGATCAACTAATGTCATCTGAAGAATATTGTTCGACCCTGGTTTGATTTGACCTGAAATTTTTTATTTGACCTGAAGAATATTGTTCGACCCTGATTGACCCATTTGATATTTTTAAGTAGACAATTGAGGCATGTATATTATTGTCAACATTAGGCAATAGTGCCTGAAATAGTGCATTATCACTATACTGGTACATGGGGAATGTGTTAGATGTAATGAAATCAGTTCCTAGTTAATTATAGTCACTCCTAGGACTTGACTGTTTAGTTTTGAGACATGCATGAGGTTAGACTTAGTAATTTCTTTGGTCAGCAATGCAGGTCAAGGAGGTTGGTCCAAAATGCTCAGTCAGTGCACCTCTAAGAATTCTGAAATATATTACTCAGTTAACTAGAGGTATATTTATTTCCTTAGTTATTTCCATGAGAGCCTAAGTAAATATAAACGGGAATAACTGGGGTAAAGATATGTTATGTTTTTAATAAGTTTACTTTCTTTTGAACAATTCATAAGGACTCATTTTCAGGATAAGGACTCCTCTTACTACCCTCTCAGCCTCCACATGCTCACAAAATATCCTTTTTCACTCCCAATAATTCTCATAGTAATGACTTTTAGCAAACTAACAATCGTTCTCATTTGCCACCAGTTTTTTCATAGCTCAAGCCATTACTGTCAACCCTCGCATTCTGTAGCACCTCCAGTATAACTTTTTTCTCTCATATGCTCCATTTCCAGCACTGGATAACATATGGGTGCCTTTGCACCACATCACACAGAAAACGCCTGTTCTCTCCTTCAATTCCCTTTTTACCTGTATGTTCATCCATCCCCAGGTACCAATCTTTAACACATTACAGTTTGCCCCAACTTCTGCTACCATCTTCCACATATTAATATTTTTGTATTAGTTTCACTACCATGAGTAGATAGCACTGGCAGCAATACTGATGAGTGAGGATGAAGGTCAGAGCAATTTTTTTATGCAAAAATGCAGCACAATATTATCTCAGTAATTTTCTTTCATATCTATACCAAAACTTACTAATATATATACTGTCAAAATAAAAAACCTTCAGTGCATCACTATTTATCAGGCTGTGGTTCATATACAGAGATGTTCACATTTACATAGGATATGTCCTACATGTAAACTTAGAGTGAAAACCATGCCCTGTATTAGCACTATGTTTCTTTCAATGTTTGGTACCTCCAGCTTATTAGCTGCTTACTCTAACCATTCTTATGCTTTTAATCTAAAATATTTAGGTATGGAATACATGGAATACAGCACTGATGAGATTGACCATTGAGACTATACCCTTGCAAAAGGTTTGTCAATATATTTGCTGTATACACTATTAAATATTGCAGAACAGTGGCATAAGCACCCAATTCAACATGTTTGAATCATTTAATAATTTTTGTGCGTTCCAAAAAATTGGGTTGGTTTGAGATTGAAAAGTTTTTCTCTGGCGGTTATCACATGAGTATAAAACTAACGAAGACATTTCTACAGATCGTGTACTTGCTGTCCTGACCACACGCAGAATATCTTGGCCACTCTCAGTTCCCTGAAGTCCATGTGCACAGATACAAATATGGTGGTCAACGAACTACGTGGTAGGCTTCCTGCCAATGCACAACCTTTGGTTTGGCCTAACCGCGGTCCTGCGCATGGACTGTTGACGTCAAAAAACAAAGGAAAGCTTCAAAAATCACGCAGCATACGAGAGGATAATGGGTAAGCTATAAGATAAGTGATTACTGGAACCATATTGACATATTATGAACATTGCAAAGGTTGCTAATATCTAGAAACATAAGAAACTTGTTGCCCTGCTTTACTATGGTCTATTGAAACGGTGAACTTTCAAAATAGCATCTAAGGTCGCTCATGACGCACAACCAAAGTTCCCTTTTCTTTCTATAAAAATCACAATTGATTTGGACGCTAAAAGAAGACATCATATGCGTGGTACGGCCCCCTATGAGTTATTGTTTGTGTATTCAAAAACGCACTTTGTGATTGGCGGATGTCGAGCTGTTCGCATATTCGTATCGATAAATCGCGGCTTTCACGAATCGCAGGGTATTTTAATCGTTAATAATCTTAATTGCTAATACCGCAAGCTCCTGGCACCCCAATTGCTTGAGATCCTGTTGTAGCTCCGGACTATCAAAGATTGACTCGCCCACGAGCGCGACCTGCTTCCAATTCCTTAATATTCCATGCTGGCGCAATCACAAGATCCGCTATATACTTTTTGTATTGACAACATCGTTCATAGATTTTTATTAACCCTATTTCCTTCGTTTCAGTTTATGGTCAACCCAGGCAGTTACTTTCTTTCATATTTTACAGTCGCTCTGAAGCAAACGGGATTCGACAGCTAGTGCGAGAAGACCTGAAACGGACCGAGCCATCATGCATGAATGCGCTCAAAAACGTACCCGCCTGGGAACGATGGAGAGACCACCGCGTCCGAAAGAAGACGAGTTACTCTTAGACGTATTGAATCATCTTCAACTTCGACAATCGAAATGCAAGAAAATGCCGAAGATTCTAACCGTATTTCGGCCACTTCAAGACGCTCACCTAGGCAACACAATGTTACTTCTCCCATACACAGTGTTTTTTCTAGAGCCGTCAGGCTCTTGAATTGTAATCAACTATTTAACTATGAATATGGAACATTCTTCACTAGAAGGAACATTCTTCAATAATACGATAGTGATACAGCCGGTTAAGTAATGAAATTTTCCAAAATGAAATGGACTCTATTTTTGTTTGTCATTAGTGGTGATGCTGTAGAAACGTATTCTCTTGCCACCTATATTTTGTAAATTTTGCGTAATAGGTGCTATATGTGAGAGAATATGGAATGAGCCTAAAGTTTGCTCTCTCTCTGGTTCCCATGACTGATTTACAAGTTCTTGGCTGTATTTTGCTAGTGTTAAGTTTTCAAAGTAATAAAATTAATAAAATATTGGCGCAAGAATATTGAATGAGAATAAGTTCTAAATTTAGGCTTCTTGTATCGTGATTTTGTGTTGAAGAAAGAGTTGTGCAATAGTTAGTGATGAAGCCTATAAGGATAAACAATTTTAAAGGATAAAAAGATAAAAAGGATAAAAGTAAAGGATATTCTTAAATTTTATTTTTCAAATATTCATGTTCAAATTGTTATTTTTCATGTTCAAATTGGATGTTAAGCGTTACTCACACTTGTGTGGGGAGAATGGAAAAAATGTTGAACTAGAGGGACCGCGCATGTTTTCGCTTCAAATTGTTACCTGAAATTTTAATATGTATTGGTGGAATCTAAATAGTGTTCAGAATAATATAGTGTTCAGAGACTTCTTGTATTATTGTATTATATCATTTTCAGCGACTAGAAAACGGGTATCGAAAGGAACTAACGTAAATACAGGTATTGGAAAGTACAAACGTAAATAGTATAGGTATTGTAAAGGAACTAACGTAAATATTCAACTTCTCTCCCCCTTCCTCCCACTGTAGAGGAAGAGAGTGGGGGGGGGAGAAGAATCGCTCCCCCCTCTTTCCTCCCCAGTGGGAGGAAGGGGGGAATTTTTTTTAGCGATTTTTCCCACTCGGCCAGACCTTCCCCGAATATGGGGGCGACCTTAATACGTATCGCTCAACGGCCGCCAGAATAAGGACCAGGCTCTGGTAGCCGTCTGATTCGGGGACCGGAATGTAGACCGAAACGCGGACATAGGGATGCTGGTGGACTATGCTCCCCGAGTCCTAGGCGGTTGCTGTACAACCCTGCATTACACAGCCCAGCTAACAGCTGTACAACCCTGCATTACACAGCCCAGCTAACTGTTGTATAGGGGTTTTGGGGTTATAGATTTTTGAATTTCCCCGCTCAGTCTCCTTCCCAAATGAAAACTATTGTTAGAGCATCGATGAATATTGGTGGCTATAGGTGTAAATTATAGGCCTATGTTCCACCTATAACCTGCCGAAGGCCACCCTAACAGAAAAACACTTCTTCCATCAATAACTACCTATTGGTAACGGTGGAGCATCGATGAGCCACCCATGGTAACTTTTAAAATAAAGTCGATAAAAATGTTCTCTTTAGTCTTAAATTCGATGCATTTGAATATACTGATTATGATTTCATTGGCTTGAAGATTATGATTTATGATACTTGAAATTGAAGTATTTCAAGTATCAATTTCATCAAATGACAGAAGTTGATTCTACCACCGTTATAGTTAGTGGTTCAATTAGCCATTTTATCAGAAGATGCTGCTATATTCGAGTAAATTGCCACTGAAAGAAGCTTCTTCTATCAATAAAGAATTATGGTTTAGGTCTGAGTAACGGCTACTTGAAAATGCTTGATTAATCTCGAAGTTTCGTAATGTTATCATTAAACTAATATTCACAGAGGTTCCATTTAGAACATTCTCGCCGAGAATATTGTTACGTGAACAAAGGAAGTGAAATCACGCGACGATTTTGAAATGATAGACTTGAAATAGCTTCACCACCTTGTATCACTATTATCTCTAGTCTAATCTGTAATCTTTTGCGCAGGAAATATACCGAGATGTATACTTAAACTCGCAATAATTATCTGACTGCATAAGAAAATTTCCCAAAAAATATGGAAAAGGTTAGTAGAGAAGAAGCTCAACATCGATGCACGCCAACCCTAGCTGTAGGGTTGGCGTGTACTCGATTTGCTGGCTGCGCTCCTGAGTTTAGAGATGCTGAGTCGGTGTCGACTACGTCAGCGTGGCTCTGAATAAATTCGTCAGCTTGAGAATAATATAAACATTACGAAACATTTAATCGATCTATACAATTTATAATTAATGATCCAATTTGTTTCAATTGATCGCAATATTTTCAACTTTGCATGTTAGTTGGTCCAAACGCAAAGTTCTTTCCTTTTCTGCATCGAAATGTCACAAATAGATGAGAATATATCCTGCGTATTTGCTATAGCAATTTGCTTTTTCCTATATGGTTAATAAAGCGCATGGTCCAAATCCCAGGCAGCTGAGTGGGCTGATACTGTCATGGAATGAAGGCTCATGTGGTGAAGGGTAAAATCATGTGAATTTGCTTTCATATAACATGAGCTATATGCACGGCAGCGATGTACCTCAATGGGCGGATGGGATTGTCGCAAAGCTGTCAGGCAGCGCCACGAAATAAAACTTCCCGAAGTAGAATAAATTAGCACAATAGAGCGTAATCGTAACGTCAGATGACAAGTCAAGTCACCTCACGTAATTGTATTTGTAATTGATTTAAATGTGGTTAAATTTTCTGTGTAATTTAACTTCCTCTTTGCCGCGTAACTTATAACTGATCTGCTTCAGCATAAACGAGACTCCATAAGTGTGAGAAATTTTAAATCATTTTGAGGGTAAGTTTTCAGCTAATACCTTTACATAGCAGGAAGTTTAAGTTTATAATTGGAAGTAATAAAAGAAATAGAACTAGACTCTAGGACAGTGGTGCCCGAATTAACTACAGTGAAGTGATTATTGAGTGATTCAAATCAGTGAACACACAGAATCCTGTACGCAGTGAGAATTCCGAAATATAGCTCAGTAGCATCTACCAGTTCCACCATTTAAGCAGCCGCGAACTATGACTAGATTCAAGTTTTGACTGACGCGTTTTAGAATTTCGCCTGCGACTATCGCAGCCTGGGATTGACCCTGCATCTGACTCGAAGAAGCGTTCGCTTACAATCCACGCAATTTTTTGCGCAAATCGGAATGACACTGTCTATAAAAAGAAATCAGCGAAGATACAACCGACTATTGAAGTAGGAATGGTGACTATGTCGAGCACCGCAACAACTATGGCTACAGCGGTTAAAGGTCCAGCAGATAATTCAGCACAGCTAAGTACGATTGCAGAACACTAATCATCAGAACGCTACGTTTACCGCAAGCAAACTAAACAAGTGCATAAACTTAACACGCAAGAGAGAAGCAACTTCAAGAGCACCGCAATGTGAGCAGCTGCGGTAAATACCTCAGCAGCACAGACGGGATGAGCAGCAAACGCGTACCCTCAACGAGTCTCGTGGGAAGGACGGTGTCGGAGAGGGGGCGGCGAGGCGAAGGTGCTTACCGTCTTAATTAAGAGACTGCATCAAGGCGCTCAGCCGCGGTAGTCGTTTATGGAGATTCTTAACTATTAATTCGACAGATAACTCCCCTCATAACGACAGATAACTCCCCTCATAAATAAGATAATAATAAATAAGTCTGAAATTTAGAATGCTTTCCTGGCTATTTATTTTCAATTTGCATACATTAAGATAAATTATGTAAACTTTGTATTACCACTGTTATCGCTAACGAAAATTTTGAACCATAAGGATCGTAAAACGCGTGACTTTTCTAACATTTTCGCGATACCAGTTGGTTTAACTCTTTATACTTCATTGATCGCTATACCAAGCATTTCTGAATCATTCTTCTTGTGGTAGTTATACTAGTTTTTAACAACAGGTCAGTGAATTTTCCGTAGATTTGATCAAGATTTGACCCTCCATTGTACTTCGGAAGAAAGGCAGCCTGTCTGTCCTATGGCAATAAATCTTCTGTGTGTTCACGATAAACATCCCTCTCCCCCCACACACTGCAGTCCATTCCGCTTTCAATGTGCTTGCCTGGTACTGGGGTGACTTTTAAAAGGCCAAAACTAATAATACGTCATTACATGTATAGTCAATAATATGTAAATATTTTTAAGCCGGTCGTAAATAAATGTCATGCGTTACGAATTTCGCGGAAACATTACACGAGACAAAATTGTTTTGTGAGTGATCAGAATTTGCATCATAATATTGCGTAAAGATGTCTAATAGAACCGTTGATTTTATAACGACAGTACTTCGGAATGGTGGCTCTGCCTTCACTTACGACGATACATCGTCCGAACTCGCTTGTTGTAAATCTGCTGATGATGTTCGTGGCCGTACCGCTATTGATGATGACCGTAACCGTACCACTATTGACGATGAGCGTGACCGTACTGCTATTGAAGATAACCGTGACCGTACCGCTATTGATGATGATTGTAACTTTTTTTACGTTGTTTTATCGGAGAGGTAGTGGTATGAAAGACTCAAAGTTTCGCGCAAAGTTTCTCCCATCATTTCACGATCTAATTTTGTGAATGGTACTCAAGGTATATGGTGAGGAACGAAGGTATACTATTACAATGAGCCCTCGCACTGTCAACGGCTGAGGTTCAAAATACAGAAGATTGTTTACAATTGGAGTGGGTAGGGGATGAAATGAGAGTGCGCTTGGAGAGGGGAGGGATCCGTCCCCCTCGAATTTCGTGAAGGCTGAGGTCATGAAAACCACACCGCTAAACT